GCATCAATAACTACCACGTCGACCGAGAAACGAAAATCCGGAAACATAAATGTGTCATCGGGACTGGGGACTACGCAGCCAGCCCCGTAGAAACAAGTTGTACAAGATAGCCACAAGTAATGGCAATTTCTTTTTAGCATAGCAAATTCTTGTATTCTTTTGAAAATAGAATGAATTAAATGAAATGAAATCCTTTTGTTTTTATCTTGTTTCTTGTCTGAACGATGAACTAACTTTGTCATTTGAAAGTTAAACAAGTACTTCAAATGCTAGTGCCATAATGAACAGGAGACATCCTCTTCAAGAGCACCGTAAACATAAGAGGACCCTCTCATATGAAAATCCTCACGTTAAAGGGTTAGTTTCGGAAGAATTTATGCCCGGAATCAAAATGCCTTCGGGGAAAAATGCACTCGAAGACGTAAATGAAAGGACGAAAAAAGTAAACTTGCGCAAATACATACAGAAACCCTCACGTAAAAGGGTTGATGCCCGGAACCAAATACTTTTGGGAAAAAATACATCCAAGGTTACACATAATAAGACGCAAACAGGAAAACTTGCGCAAAGTCCTTAAGCAAAAGGAAGAAAATGCAAAAATTAAAAACTTACATGGATATTCAAACGGAAGAAAGACTCAAACAATATTTGAGCAAAAAGATGTTTTTAATTACAAAAGCATGCCAAAACGGCAAAGTTACAAGAATTAGAAAAAGAAAAGAAAAGCTAAGTTGCAGTATCTCCAGAACCAGGAGAAAGAGAAGTGTCCGCGCCCTCGGGAGAAGTAGATGGATCCACCGATGGCTCGACATTTTCCCTAGTTTGATCTTCAACATCATCGTCCTCCGATTCCTCTTCAGTTCCCGAGAACTCGAAAACGGAACCGGAAGGACCAGGAGCATCAAATTGTGCTGGGAGTCCATTTTTTGCAGCTAACTCAAGCTCACGGGCCTTCGCAATTTCGGCATCAAAATCAATGATATCAGCTTTGGCCTCTTCCAAGGTTTTTCTCCTCATGCTATACATAGCGTAAGGTTTCTCAACAATGAGGGAAGCCGCTCGGCACTTAAGCTCTTCTTTGACTTGAGCTACCTCGGCAGAAAGGCTTTCCCGGGTGGACCTAACAGATCTGAGACTAACATCAAGGTCGCGGACAGTTGAACTAAAGATCCTATTATGCTCGATAGTTTTCCTGTACTTCTCTTCCAACTGGGCGTGTTTCGCCCCCGCATCAGCAAGCTCTTCGATTTTAGAGTTCAAGGCTGCCTCTAAATCAGTCACTTTTTCAGCAGCGACAACCTCGCGCTCGGTTGTAGCAAGAACGACATCACGGACTTCAGCCCATTTGGCCTTGGATTCGTCAAATCTAACCCTCAACGGACTAATTTCTTGGCTAAGGGTTACCACCTCTTGCTCACTTTGCTGCAAACGAGCCTCCAATGCAACAGCCTCAACAGCCTTGACTTCTAGTTCGGAGAGGCAAGCGACACTTTGCTCCCGCTCTTCCAAAAGTTGATCCTGAGTAGAAGTAAGTTCTTCCTTATCACGAATCAACCTCTGAAGGCCTTCGGAAGCAAGAAAGTTGGCCTACAAATAAGAAAGGTAAAACTCAAAATACACAAAAGTAGACAAAGTAACAAGGAAGGAAAGGAACGTACCACTGCAGCATTGTGCATGGCATTGTTCAACAGGCACTCTCCCGAGAGTGCCCGAACCTTTTCCCAATCTTTCTCTGAAGCCAAAGACTTCAAATAATTAGCAAGCCCCACTGGCCGAGAAAGCAGGTTGCACCCGGTAGAAACAGAAAGGGTAACATTCCTCCTCCGATGGGGATCTTCAGAAGGAGCAGCATAATTTTGCCCCAAATTCCCATGAACTGGGGACTGGGGAGGAGGAACATCTCCTTCGTGATCAGATGTGGCCGCTGGAGAGATGTAGCAATTGCTGGTGGGAGAGTTGATGAAGAGGGAAATGATGTAGCAATTGCTGGTGTTGGTGAGATGGAAATGAAGCTGATGGAGTTGAAGAGTAAGAAGCAGCTGCCTCAAATGCAGTGCTGGTTGTTGGATGCTCACCAACCAAAGACGGCGGGGACTCGGTACTTATCCCTGCGATACCGGGAACAACAATGGGGGCCCGATAGCGGGAGTTGGCATTTTCTACTAAATCAAACCCTCCCCAAAGCACTGAGGCATCGTCCTCGATTGGTGTAACTAACTCAACAGATTGAGCACTCTGTTGAGTTGATGATGAACGTCACCTTCTATGTAGATAAGCCGCATCATCATTGGCTTCTCCATCATCGTCAATTATCATGGTGTCTATGACTGGTCCGGGAGGAGGGCTACTAATGACAACTTCCGGAGATGACACAGAGGCAATAGTCTTCGCCGTCTTATTCATTTCCCTGGCCACAGAAGAACGCTTTCTTCTTGGTTGCTTGTTCTCCGGCCAGGGACTCCGTAATGAAACACCTATGCCCGAAGCAGGTTCGGAGACACCTGCTGGAGTAAGCGCCTCCTGAAGCAGCCTCGCCGCATCAGCAGGATCAGACAAGACGTCCTCCTCGGGGACAACAACTGAGCCCGCAGGTAGACCTGATTTCAAGGAAAAGATAGAAGGGATTAGTCAAGTTCTTCAAATGAAAAATTGAAACAAGGTGAGTTTGAATTACCATGATTTTTGGCCTTTTACCCATATTTAAGGGCCAGTTATTTCACAAACCTGTTTCGGAAGTCGTAACATCCAAAATCTTCTGAACCCACCGGTCCAAACCTTCAACCACCGGTGGGATCCATCGAGTTACTGAAACATGCAAAGGGTAAAAATTCAATACGACTACAGAAGGATATTTGGTAAAAATATCAAACAAAGATCTTACGAGTGCGGTTCCAAGCGGCCGGAAAGGATGATGCCATTGTGAGAATGATGTCGTTGGTGGAAACTGCGGCGAACCATTCCATCCACCCATGGTCGCTGTCCTCATCTATGCGAGTTAATAGAGCATGGTGGCCACGTTTGCAGAGGTTTATCATTCCCCCGCGGAAGATCTTTGGGGAGTAGAGATTCATCATATGAGCTAAGGATAGCTCTTTTCCAGTCTCCTGGCACAAACGCAGAAGGCAAGCAACCGTCCTCCACACGGAAGGACTTACTTGCGCCAAACATACTTGGTAGCGAAGGCAAAATCCGCAATTACGGAATCAAGCTCTCCGCTCAGAGAAAACGCACCCAAAGTAAAAGGATACGTGTAAAAATATGTAAAACCCTCCTTGGGAAGGGTCACTCGCTCCGACAGATTAGGAGAGATAATATCCAACTCATGGCAGCGGCAGTCTTCCTTAACAACAGGAATGTGGAGACGGATGGAAGAGGTATCTACTGACGGCCCATGTATGAGAGTTAGCAGTAGGGATTTTTTCCTCAAAGTCTTTTGTGGTAATAAGACTTCTAGGGATTATGGAGCCTACTGTTGGAGAACAGAATCCTCGGCCTTTTTCTTGTTCTTTGAAGAACTAGTATGATTTGAGGAAGAAGCCATTATGTGAAAAGAGGAGAAAGTTTTTTGTTTGAAGAGAGTTAGAGAAAAGATGAAGAACAAAGGTGCAAATCAAAAACTTGGAAAATTATGAAGTGTAAGGGAAAAGGATGATGCATATAAGTAAAATTTTAGCGGCTAAATTCATGGCCATGATTGCATCGTTAATCGGCAAAAACTGTGTTGAATCGTGGGATGACGCGTGTTCGGGATAACAAATGCGGAGAGACGTACGTCTAATCAACCGTCAGAAGCCTAAAGAGGGAGTTATAGAAATTCCCGCCAAAAGAGTATTTCTACCAACTTCTCGGTAACACAAAGTTATGTCACGAAAAGCAGGGGGACTATTTGTATAAGGTAAAATATGATATGACACGTGGTCATCTAAAGGAAGGATACGTGGAACCCATGACGAGGATGGCCGAACACAGATATTTCGCTTGTCACCGTAAGGGATAACGTTCATAGAGGTGTGTTAATGCCTTGCACCTGGTAGCATTTAATAAGGAATATTCTGTAGTATTAAGAGCAACGGCCCGTTATAGGGAATTTGGCATTTATGTCCACCATTACATCTTCATCAATGACCCTCATAATTGACACTAAAGGAGGGCACGATCCTAGGACCTCGTTCCCTAGGCACAAGTATAAATAGTAAGCTTAGTTATCATTGTAAGGGACACGAATTTTCTGGCAAACTTACACTACATTCTATACAAAGCTTAATACAATTTTACTTTCTTGCTTTTCGATTTCACTGTAGCTGTGCCCGGAAACCTTGTTCGCGAAACTGTCATCTCTGTTGTTTCATCTACAACTTAAGGCTAAGTATTGCATAATTCTTTACTTATTTTATTTTCAGGATCAAATTAATTCACTTATCTAGAAACCACGTTTAAATTCAACTGTACCGTTTTATGGGTAAACACATATCCTCCTACTTTTTTGATTCGTTTCATAAAAGAAGTCAAACATGTAAGTTCTATACAAGGATAGTCCTAAAATGATCTTTCTATTTTATTTTATGTCACTCCTCTTTTTTTGTTCGTTCCAAAGAAAATTGACGCATTTGCATATTAACATATCATGTTACTTTTTACTAAAGGTGTTTGGTTGAGAATGTGGAACGGTGAGTGTCAATTTAGGTTTATGATTCGGTTCAAATTGCTACATTTATACCAACATCTTTGGCTCAAGTATTTAAATGTAAGACCAACTTCCACTCCTATGAGGTTGAGTGAGTTCCCTTGGAGGTTAATGTTTTTATTTTGCTAGATAATAAAATGGAAAACAATTGCCCTGCCTACTAAAAAGCATTATAGACAATCACTTTCTATGAACCCTATTGTCATTCTTAATTTATTGCTTTATGCACTCTATTGCTTCTCTTTGTTTAGTATTCCCCGCAAGACAGTTAAAACTTAAAATAAATGGTGTATTTTCAAATTGACAGCAGAATAAAAAACACGCAACACCTCTTTCCCACCTACCATTGACATATTTAGGTGCCAAGTTCCCACAAAGACACAAACCTTATGTTAGTCTGTTCACTGTTGATTTCACATTTTGCCTTCGTCACGACACCAAGCATTCTTAATAGAATTTCAGTCGCTATATAACACTTCAATCCTATATCAACAGATTCCGTGCACAGGTAAAGCATGATGGGCATAAGTAAAACCACTGCCATCTTACAGAAAGAGTTAGTGGTTGTGTGAAAAAGGAGTTCAGTAGTTCTTGCTACAAATAACTCACATCTTCAAGAAAACTATAGCACATTATCATTATCATAGGGTACAATAATCTTTCAGTATTTGTCTTGCCAGGTCAAATGCTCCACTCTTTTTGTAAATCAAGTGCAAGTTGTATGCTGCTTCTCTGCGAAGATCACAGTAACCTGGTTTTCTGTTTTCGGCAAGATCTGGGTTCTCATTAGGAAGCTTTGGGATGGGATAATCATTTTCGTGAGTGTCAAGTACCCTTTGATAATATATGGCAGCTAGAGAAACAAGACCAACATGATGATATGCTCGACCAATATTGTACATTGCTTCCTGCAAAAGAAAATCAAGGAGTTCCTTTAGATGCCCCAACACTTCCTGTGTTGATGTAATGGAAAATATTAAATTTAGGTCATTACCAAAAAAAGTCATTTCAAATTGGACTTACAAAAGCAGACATCAGACAAAAAGAAATAAGGCTAGGCAAGTTCAAAGTGTAACCTGTCTGTTTCCTGAAAGCTTCAAATTATTATACAGGAAAGCCATTCCCTGTAGTATACACTGATGCTTGTTATGAAGTCTGAATCCAAGAGCTACATTTATTAACGCGGTTCCTGGAAACAAAAGCAAACGTCAAACTTGCAAATTGATATCACGAAAGATAAAGACTGCGTCAACTCTGCCTTCTTTTATTTGGTTGCTAGAAGAAACCCATACCCGCACAGAGATTTATCAATTGATTATCTGTCATCAGCTTATAGGCTTCTAAATATTCTCTAGCCGCTGCTTGATGCTGGCTGATCGTGGTAAACTGGTGTCCAGCAATAATAATTGGTGGTACGCAATCTTTGTGTTTGGTACGCATATTATGCAAGAACTTGTTATGTTTTGAATACCGAATATCCAGTCTGCACATGATCATCCATAATAAAATAAACAAATAACAATAAAAATCAGAGATAAGATCAAGCAGTCTTAAGTTTATAAAATAAAGGGTTCTCTTCTTGATTTGTTCAGAAAGGGTTCTCTTTTATATCTTATAAGGCTTCAAATCTTATTTTGGACAAGATTCACTGTACTCTCATATCTGTCGTAACTGCTTTACACTGATGCTCTACTGAAAATACCTTTTCGGGTATCACAGTTTAGGTTATAAAAGAACTGAATACATAGTCAAATCTTAAAACAATATAATTCAACCCAGTATGCTACAGTACATACATTACTAACCTAACTACAGAATATAACATTCGAGAAAATATGGCACGACTGCAGAGATGTTTTAGTTTCAAAAAAGCGGTGGACAGGAAAACAATTGAAAGACTAGTAGACCTCTAGGCCGACAACAAACCAACTGAAGTTACTAAGTAACAACTAATTGTTGTAAGTTCCAGTTTGAGAACTGTATTTATTTTCAATGCATAAGATAGTCCCTCCTTCCCAAACTGAAGAACCCACTTTAGCTAGCCTAAAAATTGATACCAGAAAGTGTGAATACATTCTGTTTTCATTTTTAAAGAGCATAGGAAATAGAACTAGAACACGTGGAAAGCTTGGAAACCTAAAGATGTCAAGTAAATTCAAAAATAATATAGAATTTTATTATTATATGTCAATTTAACTTTTTGACAATTGTAAAGTTGAAATTGCTGTTGCAAGAAAGAAGTCAATCGACAGTTTAAAATAAAAATTAGGTCAAACAAAATAGAAAAGGAGCATAAATCATTTATCTTTTGATAGTCTTCATGTGATTCTCAAAATGCTACTGGACAAGCCGGGCTGCTGGAATGCAATACGGCAACAGGGTGGTGAAATAATACAAGATTAGGACAAAGATTAATAAAAGCAAGTGTGAATACATCATTATACTTTAATTTGTTAGAGTATAGGAAATAATAATTGGAAGATGTGAAAAGCTAGGAAGCTTAAAGATGTCAATTCAAAATAAATATAAAATGTTATTCTATTGAAGGAAAGAAGTCAAATAAGGAGCATGAATCAAGCATCTATTGATAGTCTTAATGTGATACTCAAAATGGTACTGGACAGCTATGTTACTTGGACTCTTCAAAAATGTTGTTGGGTGCGTGTCGGATCCTCCAAATTTAGTGCATTTTTGGAGGATCCGACACGGGTGCGGCAACACTTTTGGAGAGTCCGAGCAACATAGCTGGACAGGGTGGTGGATACCAACACAGTCAATGGAGCCCATGTCACTCCATGAATTCTGTAGTGCATTTAGGATGCAGAAATCCTATGAACCAACCCATGCTGGTGCTTGCTGACTGTTACTTAGTCCCCCAAAATGCCCAAACGCAAAACAATTCCTAATTAATTTTGTAATGGTGCATGTAACTGTAATAATGTCTAACATCGGTAAATCTATTGTATGCATTATACGAATTATTTCCAACATAATTTACGTAAAACACACGTATCTGCACACATTCTTCAATCTCAACACATGGGATTTCAGCAGAATCACTGAGTGCAAACAAACATTTACTAACAGTTAATTTCCTCTATTATTCCAAATGGCGAGTTAATGCAAAAGCACCTGTTATAGAACAAGGGAAACAGAAACTGGTTCAACTAGCATGACACATACGGACAATGCCAACTACGAAAGTAGACGAGTGTTCAGAATACTGACAGAAATTCTGCTGATACCTTGATATTACTTTGTAGTAGCAATTCCATGCTGCAAAGCTATAAGGATGCTGACTGACAATATAACGAGCACAATCGAACCCACGGGTGGGATCAGCAATGTTATATCCTACTTCTGCAAGACAGAAAAAGAACGTTTTAGCACGCACGCATCTTTATCTTTCACTTCACGACATTACTCAGCCAAGTATATCTGAACCTGTCAATATAAGTCTCAATGTAGTTTAAACAGAACAGAAGCAAAGGGAGAGAGTGCAAACACTACAAGCTGAAACTTACGAGCTCCTAGAGCTTGCAGCTCCCCTTTCTTCTCAACAGACAACGTGCCGGATGCCAATTTAAGACAGAGATTAATGATCTCCAGTGCATCCCAATACCGTTGCAAGGATATTAACACCTTGCACAACTACAAAAAGAAATCTAAAGTTAAAATTTCCAGTCCGACATAATTATAAGTAACAAAAGGGCCAAGAATCAGAAGGAAATTGAAAATTAATTTAGCATTAAAATTTCCCTTACGAAAAATATGTAGTCATATCCAACTAAAACATGTAAAAAGGACATCTCAGACCTCTGATTAGTTCAAATGACCGTATCTAGTACTGATATAAAAATTGTAAGCATGTGTATTTACGAAAAGAATAAACATAATAAGTGCATTAGTGCCTGAAAACGGAACAAGGGGAGTAATCACATGAGACAAGCATGCTCATTAAAGAAGAAAAGATAGAATAAGAAATGAAAGGAAAGGAAGTAGTAAAAAATAAAAGACAGATGGATGGGAAGCAAGGAATACTAACATCTATGATGAGACACAGGTGCTCCTCGTCTTTTAGAAGATCTGGTAGTGGAGGCTCTCGGTATGCATGCCCCTCAAGAAATAGGATAACATACAAGAAAGAAGTAAGTTTTAGGTCAAAATCAAGGGTTTAAACAGTTTACAATATGTTACTTTACATAAGAAACGGGCTATAAGCTTCTCACAGGAGACTCGCTGTCCGAATCGTCACTTTTCCAGTCAGCTCCAGCAGCCAAAGCTGCAGCTTTTTTTGCTTCCTTTAACATTTCTTTCTTCTGAAGTAATTTTCTGGCTCTTGCAGCTTTTGACCTATCAAAAAGCCACAAAATTAGTTATTTGCACAGACATTACCGGCCAGGAATAGGTGTTACAGATCATTATAAACATTACAGACATGATCAACAAGATTGCACTTGCAAAATCATGTGTAGACTTACTCGAAGGTAAGTGAGGTATGTTTATGAAAAGAATGAGCTTGGAAAAGACTAAGGAAAGATTCCCAAAAGGGAAACAAGAAATTGAAAATGGCCAATTTAACAAATTTCAAATTCCACAACTCGACTCCTGAAACAGCTTGGTTGGATACTTTTGCCCGTAGAATCTTCAGTTAAGGAGCGGAAAGAAAAAGCAGAACATGGTAAAATTAAAACTCACAGATCAGAAGCCAAAGCTAAAGGCCTAAAGCCATGAAAGACGGTATCAGTTTGGTGATCATCCACAACCTTGATTCTTTGAAATAGAACACTTTTAGACAGCCTTTTCCGCACTTTAACCTAAAAAGTAGATCAACCAATTAAAAGGAATAAAGTTAGATACAAGGTAATCTCTGGGAGTTCAAATGATGCTATCACCTGGACATTTATTAAAGATGATTAAATAACCTGAATTAAAAGTGTGCATATATCTACCAATAAAAAGAAAAGGTAAATGCACATATTTTTCCAGTAGGGTTATGACTTGTGCTTGAGTTCATTCGGATAACAATTATGGACATCTCTAAAAAGCAATTTGCTTATGCAACTAGGCTATCCATGTCCAAGATAAATTTGACCTTGCATGCACCAATTTACTTACTTCAAGAAAAAATCCTTGATACACTACTGATGGTTTGATAGACGGAAAAAATGAATAAACTGGTCTTTGTATGCCATATAACAGACAGTTTACGAGTGTTAGTATACCTCCCCTCGATAAATATTGCCTCTTCCATAATGCTAAGTTGTTTCTCAAATTTCGGCAAATCACAAGCCCACTAGTTTTTATATTTTGTACCAAACAGTAAAACCAGGTTATGTCACTGGAACTGTTGCAGTACTGCATTTAAGTATCCATGCCAAGTTAAATAGTTGAGGATTTTCAATAAGGCACTATTAGGCAGATGGTTATTGGAGGTTTGGGAGAGAGGAACATGATTTTTGGAGAGAGATGAAAACAGAAAAATACAGGGTCTTGGAAGGGGCTTGGAGGATTAAAAGAGTAACTATGCCTAGTTGTGGGGTGTGAAGGAACAAGCTTTTGGGGACACAGGTGATGTGGGGACAAAATTTTGAGATTACACTTCCTAACATTTACGGAAATTTCATTTTTGTGCTGATGGAGCGAAAGAAATGCAAGGTGTTTTTAAGAGCAAAATTCCTTACAAAAAGTTAGCTGAACTGTATTTTGTCCTTCCATTTTTGGTGTAAAGAATTCTGTGCAGATGAAACTGAAACTGATGAATATACTCTTACCTTTCTCCCCCAAAAAAAAACATTTATGGAATTTCATGTCAAAAGGAGATGATAGTCCAATGAATCCAGAGGATACAAGATGGAGAAGTTTTTCTGGATTTAAGGTTTAGGAGGAACTTTCAAGACTGTGAAGTAGCAGAATTCCAAAATCTAGTAGATTTAGTTCACCAACAAGGAACATCACATGATAATTATGATGTACAGAGGTGGGGCGAGGAACAATGGAGTATTTTCGGCTAAGTCATATCATGAGAAGCTCCTGCTTAGTGAGTACCACATAGATTGATTTGGATTCCAAAGATACTGAGAAATATGTGTTTCTTCACTTGGCTAGCAACAAGAGGGGTGATATTGACGGCCGAGAATCTGAGTAAGAGGAAGGTTACGCACATTAGTAGGAGTTTTTTGTCTAATGGCTTGGGATATCTTAAGTTATGCCAGGCATGGTGAAAGAGCTAATGTTCAGTTGGAATTGCGATAGGTGGAAGAGAAGATGCAGCGCATGGAATGTTGCTCTACTAGCTCTTATGTGGGTCATTTGGAGAGAAAGAAATAGGAGAGCTTTCAAAAGTGTTGAGTTGAACTTTGTACAATTGAGGAATAGCCGTTTATCCCTTTATTCTTTTCGGTGCACTCATGAAGTTCCTTTATATATAAAAGATGGGGTGTCATTCGTAAAGAACCATATCTTTTTCTAAGATTTCTACTCTTTTGGTATACTTCTTGTGTATAGGTGTTTTCGTGCCCATACATTCAATAAAATTATTACTTCAGCCAAAAGATATCCCTGACAATCAGTATTTTTTTTTTATCAAGTAAAATAGGGTTTCATTAATCAAGCATCCAGGGATGCAACTGATTGCAAAAACATATCGCACCTCCTTTCAAAACATTGCAGTCCTAACAACTTAAGGAGCTTACAAAATCAAAAGGATCTGAAGAACTGTTTACATATAAGTAAAAGATCACTTATTCATAAAACATCAGTACCAGCTTCGTACGAGAAAGTACAAATTACAACAGTAAGGATTCGTGAAATCCAGCAGTACATCAAATATCATTTACCAAAGAAGCCTTAAACCAAATTTTCAGATTCAGGATACATTTATATTTTTTTTGAAGCAAGATAATATCATTGAAAGGGGGCATCAGGAAGATGCCAGAATAGAAAAGAGGATACATCTATATTTAACATAAGTAACATTCTCCTCCCTACCCTCAGAACACCAACAGTTTCTCTCTAGCCAAACTCTGCACAAAATACACAAAATGGAACTCCTAATGACAATCCTAGACAATTTGTCCGAATACCCCAATCCTGCAATTGAAAAAAATGCTAGTTTTCCAATGATGACTACCTCCTCTGGGGCAATCTCACACTTCTTTCAAGTTAACCCTAAGCCAGTACTGCTTGGAACAACATAAGCGCCTACCGCAGATATGTCATCTAAGATACCTCTATATTGCAAAACACCAGGGTGATTGTCATTTGCAAACAAAAAAAAAAAAGGTGATACTTCAACACTGCCATGCCCCTTACACTTATCTAAGTCCCTTCAAGTAGCCTTGTGATACAACTATGTCCATCATCTTGTTCAACGCCTCCTTTAAAATATCAAAAAGAACATGAAAATATCAGATCCACTATCTCAAACCTCTAAGAACACAGGCTCCCATTAACTAGATCAAAGAACTTCGTCATTGATATGCAAAGTTTGGTCCACTTTCTCCACTTTTCTTTGAAGCTCATATTTTTTTATGAATAAGGGTCAATGCTTATGGCTATTGGAAAGAAGCACTAAGATAGTGAAGCAAAACATAGTAAAAATTCATGTAAGCCCCTTACTATGTTAATAATTTCATCCAGTACAAAGGTCAGGTTACGCCAATAAGCTAGTAAAAGAATTGACCTATATTTGTGGCTATGTACGTTCCCTTTTTCGCCTTCAAAAATTCTGGAGTTTCTCCCAATCCAGACTTTCCACTATACAGCCTGTGGAATAGTGTTCCAAATGTTGTTTGCATTTTTTAGAAGGATATGTTACTTGCATTTTTGCTGAGATCTCTTCTCCTCCAACATTTTAGAAACTCTATCGTTGAGTTAGGCATTGACCAACTAATTCCCAGGATATTTAGGAAAAGACTCCAGATTTTAGTGGTGACTTCGCAGTGGCAAAATAGAAGATTAAAATCCTCTGGTTGTTCCTCGCATAAAGAGAATCTACTGCATAAATGGAGACCTCTTCTCTAGAGTTTAACTGGATGAGTCAAGCATCACTGGCTACAAGCCATGTAAAAACACTTCAGCATGGATGGAGCCCTGTTGCTTTGGGTCTCATCTTCATCATCACAAAGTACAGGAATCCATGGCCAAGGACTATTATGGTTGACTGATGTAGTTAACTCTCTTTTCCTTTACGCCTGGGGTTGTTCAACATTCCGTCGACTCCAATTTTCAGATTTGAATACCATTCACACCCCAACAAAGACAGATGAAGTAAATTCCTTTTTACTGTGCCATGATTGGCATGGATATCTTACTTTGCTCATTGACCCTGAGCCCTAAGTCTACTTGAAGTTGCTTGTCCGGTATTCCAGAAAGCTAATATCAGATTCTTTTCACCATCACAACAATACGGTAGTTAGGTTTACCTCTAAAGCTTGTAGAACAATTAAAATACAACAAAGGTATATCTTCATTATCAATGACTGAATTGAGCATCGGAAGAAGAATTAGGCCAAAATTAGGATTAAGTTCTGGGGAGACAAAGGCATGTGATGAGCTGGAAAACAAGACACCTACATTGTCATTTGTCGGTGCATTATTCTTCAGCTACATTTCAGCTTTTCTTCTAAAAGTTTAATGGCTTACATTCTAGGAGTATACCAGTTACGCCCAGCCAGGAAGTTGCAATTGCAGCTTCACAAGCCAGTTGCCTAGAAGAGGAAGCTAGTAAGTACAGTGACAATGAATGACTTCTGTGCAAGTTTCAACTCTAGTAAAGTATTTTATGTCATAAGTAGATGTTTGTGAGTTGCATAAAGAAGCTCCCATGTCATCCTTTTCCCCTTCTCTCTTTCTCTCTCCCTCTCTCATTGATAGAAATATTAATTTTTTTATGAAACCATCCCTAAAACTAACACATTCTTGGGTCAAATAGAAAGTGTACGCTTACCTTTTGTTGTACAGACTCAAGAAACAATGTCTCACGAATCAAAGGAAAAATAACATCCACACAGGCCTCTAGTGACCCTTTAGCTCTATAAATTTGACAAAGCTTCAGCTTTATCTTGCTATTAAGCCACCATGATTTTGGTTCATCAGAACTTGAGTCAACTGAAGATTCTGGAAATGAACCACAGAGATCTTAAAAGACGATTACAACCATCCAATTAATAGAACGCTAAGTATATGATTTGTACCTGATGCTTTTGGAGGGGAAAGCACAAAAACTGCTTCATCATCTTTGCCTTCTTCAAGGAGGATCGAGGACAAAGTTAATCGAGCATCAACACTATCCTCAAGTTCATTTACAGCTGAAAAGAAAAAACAATCAGCTAAAGACACTTCATAGATTTGAAGCATCAACAGACTAAGCAAGTCACTGCCACAAAATAATCCCATTTAGCAGGAGGTACACAAATAAGAAGGTAGGTTACGTCACACCAGAGCCATAAAATACACACATACTATATAATATATATATATATATATATACACACACACACACACACACACACACACACACATATCATGTGCTATGTGGATACCTTTATGGAAGTAATCAATTGCTTGTACTCTTTCCCTCAAAAACACATAACACTCGGCAATTTTTAAGTGTAAATAGCCCTGAAAAGAATAGAAATAAATTAACCACCAAATGATAATAAAAAAATCAAAAGATGGATATGCATGCATTAATAGAAAACAGAGCTTGCTTTAGGTTTATTTCAACAGCACACAGGCATGGGAAAATAATGCAACCTATTAAAGAGAACATTTCAACTATGAAATTTCCTGTAAATTTACTAGTTAATATTTTCAAGAAGAGTTTTTCTCAATAAAAAGATCAATTGAGCATGGTCGGTCTGCTTGATAGTAAAGAAAGAGAGCATACCTAGACACGTCCTTTCAAATAAAAGGATAAAATATAGCAATTTACATAGAAGCAGTACAAAAGAGGAGTTTCATTTCTTTACTTTATTCTTGACGTCATCTCCTTCAAGCATCATATAGTACTTCAAAGCAGATTCATAGTGTTCAAGGGTCATAAGTGAGTCCGCAACCTCAGTGACTATGTCAGGATGTTGAGATGCATTTTCTTGTTGTAGAGCACTGAAAATAATCTGCACATTGCTTGGCAAAGTAAGAATAGCATATAGCTTCAGTTCAAATTCATACAAAATCAGTATACAAAGTTTTTAGAAATAACAGAATAGGATATGTAGAAGAGGTAAGATTGGATATCACTTCAGGGTTAAATTAAGTTTTGGGCTTTAAAGACTAAAGAAGTCGAGAACCTGTGACATTACGGGGTTCCAACTATGGTACGAGGTCATAGTTAAGAAATATTTAACCAATCTTGAGGTGTATAAACACTTCTGGACGCCTCATTTTATCAGAGGCCTCCTGTTCCTCAATCTTCACCTCGCAAAACTACCCAAGTACTTAGGCCACCTTAGAGTCCTTTAGCTCATTCGCTTGTAGCAAAGTCCCTGGGTTCCTATCCTGCATGTTCTCCCCTAAGATAAGCTTTAAATTTACCTAGTATCCCATCTAGTGCCATTACATCTAGTTTTGGTCCCAAGTAACTGAAAGTAGCTTTTCTAATTTCTGATGGTTCAAAGTTTTAGTTGAACAATCTCGATCACATTTAGCTTTTCCTCCCTTGTGTTGTAGAAAATATGCAGGAGCTTTAGAAAATGGATTCTCAGATAGATATTTTTCTCTTGAACAGCAACACCCACGTGTAACCCATAGACAGTAGTTAACAATAATAGGAAAATAGAAAAAGTCTGGTAACCCAGTCCAGTTGCAATGACTCCAAGAGCATGTAGAAAACAGAAACATCAATTCATACTCCACTTTTATATTCATCAGCACATTGTGTTTCACTTATTGTTGGAGGAACCACTGCACTTTATCAGCCTTTACATTGCATTACATGCCAGTTACTATGAGTGATGGCACTACTAGAAACAACAAGAAACTTTAAGACCAAGCTCCAACAAACCTCTGCCTCCTCCATATGACCAAGATGTAAATGACATATTCCAGCTTTGATACTTAAATTAAGAGGCATCCATTTCCCAGTAAAATATCTCTGCTTTGCACACTCAATTAGATCAAGAGCTTTTAAGTGTGCATTGTCTTCCATGTGCATCACAGCTAACAGATGTATCACACTTAAATCAGCTTCATTTGGATGATTTTTCAGGTAGTCTTCCAGGATACTAACAGAGCGCTCAGCTTCGCCACATTTTCTGTACAACTGGAGAAGTAAACAGCAAGTTAATTCCATGCTGAACAGTGGAATAAGGGAGTAAGTACCATTTGATACAGCATTAGTTACACAGACAAAAAAGCAAAAAGCCTGTCGTCAGCAGACTAAAGCAACAGTCTTTTACATAAAGATACTCTTGGCATGTTCTCATCAATTTGCCAGATCTAAGTTCACTCTTGACAGAGTCATAGGAGTGTCGGTGCATTTCTCTTTTTTTTTCCCTGGTCTCAGTGCAATCCCTTGCGCACGATGTTAGTTGCTTTTCCAAAAGTAAAAATGTGTGGATGTACTAAGGAACTTTTCAACTACAGGTAAACCTGGTAGAAACAATAAAGAGAGGGTATTTAATAGAAAAGATTCAGGTCCAAATAATTACATCAGATAGAATGTGCAAGTTACACAAATAGCGAAATAACAAGACATCGTCTGTGATGATTTGTATTGGACTGTAGAACAATGTTATACTAATAAGTGAAGGTGCTAAAGGACAACAAGGTAAACATAATATCACATGAAGGTTTAAATAATTACATCAGATAGAGTGTGCAAGTTACACAAATAGCCAAATAACAAGACGTCGTCTGTGATGATTTGTATTGGACTGTAGAACAATGTTATACTAATAAATGAAGGCGCTAAAGGACAACGAGGTAAACATAAAATCACATGAAGGTTTAAGTTGTCTCAAAAATCTACAACCTCTTGGGCTTAATGAGGATAAGAACATAACACGGTGGGAGCAAAGGTATATAGGCGACACTAATTAGTCGGAATTAATGCTCACACTTACAGTAGGTCTAATGTTTTAGGGTACACCAAAGGGGAAACAATTGGGGTTTGGACTTGAGAAATAACTTTCAAGATTCGGAGGTGACAATTTTCAAAAAATCCTAGAGCTACTATGCGTACAGATTGTTAATCCGAAAGAGAAAGATGTCTGACAGCGGAGCGAAAGAGAGGAGAATTTTCAGGTGTACTCTTTTGAACTGTAGACGCCTACGGAGAGAAGAGATGGCTTTCCAATCTCAACATATGGGTTTCTACAGCTCTCGAGAAGGCATGTTATTTTCACGTGGTTCGCAGCCAGAGATTCAATTGTCAGGGTAGATAACATCAGGAAGAAAAAGATAACACGCATCACTTGGTGCTGCATGTGCAAAGTTTTGGAAAAGGATATAAATCACCTGTGCTATATTGTCGTCAGCGAGCCAATTATGGTGGACAGAATCAAACCCTTCGGCTCTTCAATGGGTGATGAAAAGGACAGCTAACATGTGAGGTCTAGACGGGCCTTCAGATGGACGAAAAGACTGGAGCGAGCACGAGAAGTAGCTCATGTGGCTATGCTGTGGGCTTTGCGGACATAAAAATGGCAGAGGGCATCTAAGGGGGTAGAGAATATTTTTGTACAGATTAGGACTAATCTCTTGTTTTTTTTTAAAGATAACAAATGTTATAAACTTCAGCACAAAGGAAGTGCTGCCAAATTCACAAAAACACAAGACGGATCCAGTACATCCTTGATTTTTTTAGGACTAGTCTCTTGTTTTTTATATAAACTTTTAGGGCACAGTTTCGTTTTAGTACAGATGATTGGGTGCATTATTGTAAAGAACCATGCTCTGGTATAGGCTGCCCACTTTTTGTATGCCACTTGTATCATACTTAATAAATCTTTAAGTTACCACGAAAAATTAGGATGCATCTCCTAAAAGCTTCTGACTCTAGTTGGAGACGTGTATGTCAATCTTGGGATGAGTGAGATTTAGAGAACCTCTTGTTTTAGGGAACTTCTAATTTGCCTGAAAAGACAGCTTATTTACCAATATTGGAGTGTAATAAGACCAAATACAGTGTAGAGGATTCATATAGTTGACCCGAACTAATTTGGAATTAAGACATAGTTGATTGATTGATTTAACTTAGCTGCCAGACATACTTTCCCTTGGTGTGTCTTCTAAGAACCAGAGAAATGACCTCTGTGACAGTACCTTTTCTCTCTTTTACCTTGCATTCAAAAGTTTGATTAAAATTGTCATATCCTGTTATCATTATAACTATCATCATCATCATTATTATCAATTTTGGTGGTGGTATTCCTTGAGCCGAGGGTCTATCGGAAACAACCTCTCTATCTTTACAAGGTAGGGGGGTAAGGTCTGCGTACACACTACCCTCCCCATACCCCATTTATGGGATTAAACTGGGTTTGTTGTTGTTGGTGGTGGGGGTGGTGTTGTTCTTATATTGTCTAGTCTAGTAATACTAAATATTTTCCATGTCAGCCGTTGCAGTGTTCTGCATTTTTTAGAAATGTGGTGTCACATGTTTGTGTTGTCTAACTCAACATCATGGTAAACTACTTTCCTACTTCCATTGTGCAAGTTTTCAGGAACAAATAACAGTACATCAGCATATGTACCCTAACGAAATTTCACTTCATGTTTATCTTCTTTTCTCCCTAAATAAAAGTCAATCATTCATCATTTTTAACGTTATATACGACTAGGGCTCACCTCAATGAAAGTAAAGCATGCTGTCTTCAGTAATATAAAAGAGAAAGGATACCCCATGCAGTAATATTAAGGACGAATAATTGAATGGATCAACAATAGCAGAAGAAGAGGCATTTAGCATGTAACCATTTGGTGCTTTAGCCAAGAAAATAACTATATGCAAATAAATGAGACAGCAAAGTTTGACAGTACTGAAGGAAGGATAGATACAGAAACCTGAGCAGCTGTTCTAAGCACTTCAACATCATTAGGGCATCGACGAGCAATTTGCTCGTATGACTCTGCAGCTTTCTGATAATCTCCAAGCTCAATGTATATTGAAGCCCGGTGATACCTAAGACTAATGTCATCAGGATCTGCTGTTATTGCTTTGGAAAGGCAATACCTGGCCTGTCCCCTATCTCCCTGCTCTCTGTACAGTTACAAACTAAATTTTAACTGTAAAGCTCAAGAAGCACCAAATGTTGCAAAATAAAGAGGACTCAGAAAGCAAGCTTATACAACAAAACAAAGCATAATATTGGCAATGGAATCACGGTGAACAATACGTATCCATTATTTCATCATGGGTTTAAAAGGGAACACTCAAATGTATGTCACCACATATGTGAACGCATTCCTAAATTAGATGACCAAAAGATGTGACATAAAAAAGAAACTTTGAAGTAGGTTGTCACTCAAAATGTAGAATAATTGAAATTTGTGCATCAACATCACGACGTGCACAACTTGATGCTTTCTTAATTATTATTTTTTCTAAATGATGGAGGTATCCGGGCCATCTTACACGCACCTTGAGTAGTTCCACCGAGTACCTGCTACCTCCTACCAGCACAGGTACTAGGTAACCCTGTCCGCCAAGGCTTAGACAAATGAGAAGAGTGAATTTTGCCTCTGTTGGGATTTAAACCTGAGACCTCAAGGTCGCCCCCCCCCCCTCCCCCCAACCCCAACTTCATTGACCACTAGGGCATACCCTTGGGTGCAAAAGAAAATGAAGCGCAAACCTGATGCTTTCTTAATTTTCAATGCAGAATGATAGCAAATGCACCCCAACCATATATCAATTTCAGCTCCTTTAGGAACAAACTATCAATATAATTGCATCTTTTTGGTTCATCTCTCTCAATGTACAGAAAATAAAAGTGATACAGAGAACACTTACACTAGTCCGTCCGTCTCAGTGTATCTGTTTCCTTTACTATTTCAGATAGTTAAAGAAAACAGTAAATGATAATGCAATTTTGGTGATAGTTTTCAAAGGATTCCTTTCCAAAAGGGATCAGCATTTCAGGTTGAAAGGGGACAAAAAATTTAGCAAGAGGCAATAACTTTTTCGCCCCAACCATTAAATCTCTAATTATATGCAGACAAGAATCCACTCCGCGTAGGAATTATAATACAGCGTTAAATGAAATGGGACAAGGAATAAGGGTATGACATATTTTTACACCATATATAACTAAACTGCTTACCTACAATTCTTTTGATACATGTATTATATGATACGAATACGAAAGGAGAAAAAGAAAAAGAAGAGATGAAACAAGGAATTCTCACATGGACCAATCGACCAGGAGCTTCCAAAGAGACGCATCCTTCGGTGCAAGATGTGCTGCAAGCATGTAGAAGTCCATAGCTCTCTTCTTATCGCCGATAGCATTGTAAATTAGGCCAAGTGTATGGTATGGATCAGGAAGGTTTGGTGAAAGACGAATGACTTCACTCAACACACGTATGGCCTGCAACAGAGAACATTAACAATGAGAAAAGTAAGAAATGGAAGGACTACTAGCTGAAACCTGAAATAGAGCCCTTCCTGAAGCAAAGCCATAGAATGGGGGAAACAGGTGTGCACATATTTTACAGATAAATGACAGAAAATATCCATAAAAACAATTAGAATCAAATGTTCAGAAAAAAAAGTGGGTACAGTTTCAGAGCAGGACCATAATCGACAACAACAAAGAGAAAATAGCAACTTGATGTGTCAATTCATATCTCTTATACTGTGTAGAGGAAAGGCAATCTTTCTGTTTTTCATGCCATATAGATATCATGTCTACATGAAAAGCAGAGAACTATACAGATCAAGCAAAATCAGGCTATAGAACAAGGATGCATGACTCTAGCTGCATACCTCCTCATAACGGCCGTGTGCATAATGAAGAGTGGCATCACCAAGTTTTCTTTTCAATTCTGAACTGACTTTATTCTTTGTTCCCTTTCGCCGACCTCTCTTCTTGAGCTACATAAGGTACAACATAACATAGTGTGCAGAAGGTTACTAACGGCTGCACAATATTTACAGTAAGCAAAAACGAAAACAACTTGCAACCCTGAATAAAGAAAGGAAAAGATAACAGGATGCAAAAAGACTATCCAATAAACTAACTGAAAAGGCTTGTACTTCAGACGATATTGTTCAGGACAGTCAAAATATAGCCAAATGTCATTCAAAATATACTGAGAACTGATTGAGAAGCTCCACAACATCCATGATCTTGTAAAGATTCTTTTGATTCTTCGAGAATCAGGTAGTTGATCTCTTAAACCATTCATAACATCCATGAATTGCTTATAGGTATTATGAAAATGTTTTGGAGGCCCAAGGTTCATTGGTAAGAACCAGAACCACTAACAGTTGAGATCATGGAGTTTTTGCTTAGTTAAGCTTATAGCTGGCAATGCGTCTTGGAGTGACATAACCTTAGCAGTTCAACTGGAGATCAACAAGCTTATCCTCAAAGCTAGCTTTGGTAAGCAAGATATTATTGCATATCCTCAACACTCACGGTATTCTTTAATCTTTCTCCAAATGATTAATGATACAGGTAGTGCAATTTGATTATCCTTTTTACAACTATATTAAAAAAGAAAAAGAAAATCTAATTTTGATGAGATATAATTCGAGATCTTAAGCTTGAAATTAAGGAACTTGACTTTAAAACCTCGTATAAGGATCTGAAACCCAAAAGCTGGTAACAGTAAAATAAAGTCCTACTATGTATTGGTGATTCCAATTTTTCAACTAATGACTACATATAAGAAAATGTGCCTCTAACCATATGTTTTTCTTTCATGAAATGACTTAGACTATTGAAGTTTAAACAAATACTGAATATCTATATTTTAATTATTCTTTAGTTTTCTAAACTTTAATAATCTGAAGATGTTTAAGCTCAAGTATAGCAGTTCTCTTATGGTCCAGTTAAGAATTCTTAGAAAAAAAATAATAGCCAAGAACCAAAAAACAAAAGAATGTAACAAAAAAATTGCCAAGGTTCAGCTTGGGCCAATGTTCTGCCTACATCTAGTATTTTGTAGATGGAATTCAAAGTTTGTCCAGACTGCTAATGACAACAAATTATACAGCAAATAACAAGTTGATGTCATACCTTCCTTGATCTTTTCCTCATCCCAAAATTCATAGCTTCCAATATTTCGTCAAAACTTGCTCCAGGACCATCCACTTGACTGTCTTCTAGCCTAAGTTTCTTCGATGGGACCTCACTGCACCCACCCACCCAACATGGTATAAGAAATTAATATGAAATGAAGGTCGACGAAAATCTAGTCCGCTATCCAGACAAAGATGCAAATAACTGCAGTCAAAGAGATAATTATCTACACCCCCGTAGTTACATGAATATAAGAATTTGTTAGAAGTGTTAGAATATGATAATTAGAATATGAAAGGAGTTAATTTCTTCACAAAGTGTCAATTTTTATGTCTGAAATTCACTACTTTTTGTATGTCCTAGTACAAGGAGTTTTCCAGTTTACATCACAGCAAATCATTACCGTATAAAGAAATACCTTAAATTTATTTTATTCTTTCGCTTCACATTATAAAAATTACCTGGGAGAAGGAAGAAGGGCACGAGCTTTGCGCTTTTTGGCAGCCAAAGCTTCATATTGGTGCTCGAGGCGCTCAAACTGTTGGTATGGCTGGAGTCCAGAGGCATCATCTTCAGTAAATGCCAAAGGATCCATTTCTGCCCCGAATCGGAATTTATACTCTCCGCTTCCATCTTCTTCTTCTTCATCTTCTTCCTCTTCTTCGTCCTCCTCTTCTTCTTCATTGTCAGCCTCTTTAGTGTTGACATTAGTGTTATCTCCTTCGTCTGCTACTTGCAATTCCAATTCCTTGGGGTGTTCAAAGGCATCAAACTGAGGCGCAGTCTCTGTTACGGTTTCTCCTTCCATGATTGTCAGTGGTGCGTTGAGGGAAAGCCCGCAGTCGAAAAAAAATAGCTCCTCAATTTAAAGCAATTCGTTTTTTCAATGAAAAAGTCCAAATTTGCCAATGAGTTTGTGAAATAATCCAATTTGCCTTCCATTAATATTTAGTGTCATATCTACCCCATAAACTTTGACACATGGGTCCTTTTACTAATGTAAAACGGTCAATAATAGTCCTAAACTATGCGAAATAGTTCATATTTGTCCCTGAACTTTCACCACCTTCCTCGGTCGCTATTCATCATTCCTATAAATCAATCACCATATTAAAAAGAGATCTCGGATCAAGGGCTTTCCGCTCTCAAAAACACCACTTGGAGACCATTTTTACTCTGCTACTATTCATTTCCACGACACTCACAAAGAGAACATATACAACTTTTACACAAAAGCCTCCTTATTTAGACAATCTCGCTCAAACTTTTATTTTTACCACTTTTATCAATCACCATTTTACCTCCATCAAAAGACCACCAACCCTCTATCATTAAGTATAACCCACCTTGATCATCACAGTACTGCTCCAAATAATTTATGAACTGAATTTTTGTACATATACTTGATTTTTTTTTTTTAATGTGAAGCTTGAATTATAACCCACCTTGAATTTTTGTATATATACTTGAGTTTGTTTTAGCATTAGGAGGTCAATGTGAAGCTTTCACATAGCTATTAGTGATATGAGAGGAATGGATGATAGAGTTGCATTGATGAAGTTCTGATAGAGGTCGAAATTAAACTTGAGGTGCAACTGATCATTGTTTAAGTTTCATTTGGGTGGGTTTGTCTATCCTTAAGCAAAAAAAGAACTCACTTAAGTAATAAACTATGACCACACATCAAACACATAGTTCAAGTTAAAAGCTTTTTTATAACAAATTCACCATTCATGGCCCTCAACACTCATTCAAAAACATCAGCTAAGCAATATTATGAACAAGAATAATATGCAAATAAAGTATATATGCAAGCCTCTTTCAATAATTTTTAATCATGCGGGCGACACGCACTACTAAAAATCACTTGTTTACCGACGCAAGTTGTCGAGGGTCCCTCAGTAACAAGACTTTACCGAAGGAAGTCCATCAGTAAGTGGTACGTTGGTAAATCTTTCCTCGGTAAAATAAATCGACAGAATCCCTCGGTAATTACCGATGACCCCATCGGAAAGCCATCGATACATTTCTGACACTATTTGGTCAAATAATTTTACTTACCGACGGATATCCGTCGGTATATTATAAAACTATATAGTATCAATAATATCTATACCAACGGATATCCGTCGGTATATTAAAAATAATAATTTAATATTACCGACGGATACCATCGGTATATTTAGAATTTTAATTTAGTAATTTAAAAATTAAAAATATGAATAAATTCATATTCCGATAGATATCTGACGGTATGTTCAACAAAATTTGAAAATTTGGTTTAAGTTTACCGACGCACTCCCTCAATAAGTAAGAATTTGGATTGACAAATGAATAATTTTTCCAACAGACTCTGTCGGTAAGTCCCTCGGTAAATCTGATATAATTTTGGCAGGCAATGCTTATTTTTTGCTGCACCACCTGCCACCCAGAATATTACAACAGAAACAGAAATGCAACCATAATAAAACACAAATTAACAACAACAAAACTTTATAAACTATCCAAACATCCAAATTATCCTATCAAACATCAAAACTATCCAACCAAACTTCAAAATGTAATATTCAAAGTCAACATCCAACTAAAAAACAATCCAACCAAACATAAAATCACTCCTCATCTTCTGATTCCCCTTCATCTTCTTCATCGTTTATATTGTTTCCATCACTTTCATCCTCTTCATAAATGTGACTTTTTGGCGGAGAGCGGGGCAGACCGATTAAGTGGTTCACTTGAGCCTTAAGGGGCTCGATGTCATTCCTAAGTGCGGTTTTAATCTTCTTTTCGTGCTTTCTTTTTTCTCGTTCATCCGCATAGTTCCTAGAAAGTTGTTGAATCGTTCGTCGCATCTCCTCAAGGTCCTCATTTTGCATGTGGCAGATGTCCCAATACCTTGTAATCCACAAAAGCGAAGTGAAAAAAATAGACGAAGAATTAGAATGGAATAATTTAGCACCTAACTTCATAATCTTCAACTAGGGAATATCGACTACCAATACATACCATGAAGTAGAAACTTCGGCTAAGTTTTGAGCAACATATTAAAAGTTCTGGGAATATATATGTACAAAACCTACATAATCTAAGGTAGAAGATATCTGCCATATATCTTCACATGAACATCCACTTCCCATTAAAGTTATTTTTCTTAGTCATAAGATATTTTGCGAATAACTTTCCATTAAATCATCGAATAAGAAAGTTAATAATATGATATTAATATGGTGTTTTTGCAAGCTATCTATTTCACGAAAGAGCACAAGAAAAAAGGAGCAAAGTGACAAGGAAATAAGAAACCAAAAAACAAAAAACCAACACAAACAGAGTTGGCAAAACTATTAAATTAAAACAAAATGAAAGAAAAACTGCTACAACGACACGTTATGAAGTATTTGTCAAGCTCTAATTGACCATTCATCATTATATAAACAAGCAATTTGCTTCACTAAGCCAAGCAAACACAACTACCCTTATATATATATATATATATATATATATATATATATATATATATATATATACACAAACAGTTCTCTCTCAGTTTTTTTCTTTTGGGGGTTCCAGAAAATGGAAAACCAAAAACCACCTCTCCCTTCTGCAACAAAGCGATAGAGAACTGGGTCCATTAAGCCTTCTAGTTTCTCACTGAATTCTCATGAACTTTCCCTTGCCAGGGTTTGTTACGTAATTTAATTAACCTTTTCTTTTTCCCACTTTTCTATAGCATTTTAGAAACATTGGTGTTCATCAACTTTAAAACTTTGAACTGATGTCCTTTTTGAGTTATAGTTTTGGATTACCATGGAAAATATATACTAATATAATACTAACAGCTAACATTTTAGTTCTTTTTTAGGAAGAAGCATTGAAATCTTTTTCAGCAACTAACAACCCCAAACCACCAACAAAAGTAGTCTGAAACGATACCAAAAACCGCCGCGAAACATAGCTAACAAAAAGAAAAGCTTATTAACAAAAAGTATATACCTTGTAGTCCACACTCGAGGCGATGATAGTTGCGCTCGAAGGAAAGGTAGTATGTTCTACCCTTATACACGCCTTCAACCACGTTCAACCAAAATGGGAGAGTTTCTTCCTCCAATGGCATCCACAAAATGAGGACCTTGAGGAGATGCGGCGAACGATTCAACAACTTTCTAGGAATTATGCGGATGAACGAGAAAAAAGAAAGCACGAAGAGAAGATTAAAATTGCACTTAGGAATGACATCGAGTCCCTCAAGGCTCAAGTGAACCACTTAATCGGTATGCCCTGCTCTCCGCCAAAAGAAGAAACATATGTTCCATCTACATATACAAACAACAAATTTATTATTCTTACTCATTTAATATTATAACAGTTACAACAGAAGAAACATAGTTATTCTAAGCTAAATAGAAGATTGTTGATTGGATTTAACATGTCATGGTTGTAAAGTAAAGGGGAAAGAGATATGAGGAGCTTGGAGAATAAAAATTTGAGACAAGAAAGTTGATGTTAAGTGAAAAAGTTTGCAGTTGTTTCATTCTATAATCTTTACTTTGCTACCACTGTAATCAAATGTAACAATTATTTTAATGAGATATTGTAACAACTGTTTGAGTAGCTGGAAGTAATGAAAGAAATAAAACTTACCACTATTTTCCAGTAGACTCCTCCAACCATATAACACTTTCTTTTGAGTTTGAGGTCACCGCATTTACTAATTATTGTTCTTATTTTTGTGTTTCAACCAACCGCTTTTCATTATATTTAATGCAATTAATCTGGTAGTCTAATTTCTTTTGTCACTAGCTAGTACAACTCAACTGCCAACCGAGTAAGTGTAGAGCCACAGAATCAGACACGTATGACCAAAATTGACCACAGAAAAATGAAGGTGTGGGATAATAGACCAAATTGCTAATCCACTTTTTGACTTCTAAACTATCACGAGACAAATTAATTATCCATACGGAGTATAGATATCACTGGATAAATATTTCATAGACAAGTCACATTATCTTCAGACGAGCTATGACGAGTTCACATAGCAATTTTAACCAATGTAAACCAACCTCGGTCCATAACACGTCGCAAGAGATGAGACCCTCGAATTACTTCTAGGAAAGCGGAACCTAAAATTAGTTAGAGAGGTGGAAGAAAAAGAAAACTTACCGGAGATGGAGAGGAGCTTGAGTACGGACGATGGCCGCTTGGATTTCCGACGATAACGACGACGATGGCCGCTTAGATTGAGTGCCGACGATGCCGGTGAAGCGGGTATTTGCCGTAGAAGCAGTGAGGCGGAGAAAGAGAAAAGAGGAAAATGCTAAGTTACGGCTTTTGCTGAGACCCTTGAACTGGAAAATATGTGTTTAAGATTTACGCTTTCACAAAAAAAAAAAATTGTTCTGTTATAAATACTTGATTATGGTGGATGTCCATAACTCCTAAGGGAGTAACACCCACTACTCTTCTCCATTAACCTCCCATTACTTCTTACCATTATGCATGTAACTCCCACACCTCCATGATCTTCCCCCATGTTCTCAATAGTTAATACCATATTTATGGAGTCCCTTTGTATTACCTATATCATCCTATAAATAGAGGGTTTGGGCATCACATTGTATACACTTGAATACATAGAAGAAATAAGATTCTCTATTCTCTTCCTCTCTACATTGTTGTCTATTTTATTGTTCTATATTGTTACTTTGAGCTAAGTTTCGTAACACGTTATCAGCACGAATTGTTATATTCTTCTTATAATTTCTATAAGAGATGAAAGCCTTCCATGGGAGCTACAACCTTGAATTAATTTGGTTGAGCCTGTGAAATTCTGTGCATTTCGTATGCCATATCAATTGGTTTGCATCTATATTGTCCAGGGAGTATCAT